TCTCTGCATTATTAATTACGTGCGGCGGCCACACGAAGGTCAAAGAAAGACCAGAGAAACACATCTGTGACCAACTCAGGGATCCCTCCAAAGATCGGTCATAACGAAATGCATCAAAATAGATATGCATGACAATAGTAAGGATCATTCAGCGGGATTACTACTGAACTCCATTCGTGATGATAGGTAAGACAACAGGGCATAGATGCATAATTTGGAAATACATAGGAGCCCCGACCTGACTTTGCATAGATGTCGTATGATAAAAAATAGGGTCTCCATCGGTAAGACAGGGCCTATAATGTTGATCTGAATCCATTCATATTTGATCATTCCCAATCCGCTTCAACGTTCAAATCTGGAAAGTAGGTGTGGATTAGCAACCAATCCGTCCATACTTCATATAAGTTGAAGCAAAACAAATACTAATCGGACGTAGTTCATATAAGTTGAAGCAAAACAACGCGGTGCGGCGACGCTGGTTCACCGTGAACAGAGCGGAGTGTGGGGACGAGCGGTACCACCGCGAGCGAGCGACGCAGAGGCATGGGCGGGCCGGGTTTGAGGCCGGCATCGCATCTCACGGCCGCATCTGCCGCTATTGTGGTCGTCGTGGCTGCGGCGATTGGAGGCGAGGAAGCAGAAGGAGACGGCGTGCTTCAGACGCAGATCGGGTAGGGGTCGCTGACCTCGACTCGTCGGCTGGGGAAGACGAAGGTAGCGATGGGGTGGCGCTCTGCGGCGCGCGGCGCGTGGCGCGGGGAAGGGCGGCGGCGCGCGGCGGCGGTGGCGGCCCGGTGGCTGGCGGGCGCGGCGCACGGGGAGGGGAGGGCGGCGCGCGGCGCGGGGGCGGGCCAGCGTTGGCGGGCGGCGGCGCGGGGACGGCCGGGAGCGGCGGCGCGGGGGCTGTCTGTCTGTGGCTTGACTGTCCGGCCGAATTCGGTTAAGTGTCCCCACCCGCCCCTTTGCCGAGCGCCGGATCAGGAGGCACTCGGCAAAGAGGCAACTTTGCCGAGTGCTCAGATCTAGCACTCGGTAAAGATTTTTTTAAATGTCTTTGCCGAGTGTCCCTGCGGAGGCACTCGGCAAAGAGGAAATTTTTTAAAAGAATTCAGAATCCTCTTTGCCGAGTGCCTTATTCTTGGCACTCGGCAAAGACCCCCTTTGCCGAGTGCCATGCCCTGGCACTCGGCAAAGTTTTTTTATTTTTTTTGTATTTTGCCTCCAAATTTTTTGTGCATCCCTTTTAAAGTAACAGGAACTCCTAATTAGAAGTTTAGGATTTTTTGTGGCTTTTTGATATATTTAGTTACTTTATTTTGTTTACTTGAATTTTTTCGAAAAATATAAATTTGAGCTGCACGTGGTACGAATAATGGAATTTAATGATTAAAAAAATGATAGTCATGTTACTGAGTGTAGTGTGAGGCCGTATCCAGGAACGAACCCAAAATTTCGGACATCTTGTTCACAAAACATGACCGCGAACTTGCGTGCGTAGTGTTTTTAAGTTCTATAAAAAGCAAACGAAGTCCGAAAATCATAAAACTTGTTGAGATGTCGTGATATCGTATGTGGAGGCTATGATAAAAATTTGAGAAGGTTTAGTGTACGTTGTCACGTACGATGCATACAAACCAGGACATCTCCACATGTGATATCAGATATCACATGTAGAGATGTCCTGGTTTGTAAGCATCGTACGTGACAACGTGCACGAAATCTTCTGAAATTTTTATCATAGCCTCCACAAATGATATCACGACATCTCAACAAGTTTCATGATTTTTCGACTTCGTTTGCTTTTTATAGAATTTAAAAACACTTCACACGCAATTTCGCGGACATGTTTCATGAGCAAGATGTCCAAAATTTCGGGTCCGTTCCTGGATACAGCCTCTCACAACACTCACTAACATGACTATCAATTTTTGAATCATTAAACTCCATTATTCGTATTAATGCGGCAGTCAAATTTCTAATTTTCTAAAAATTCAAGTAAACGAAAATAAAGTAACTAAATATAACAAAAAGCACAAAAATCTCCAAATTGTAACTAGGAGTTCCCGGTGCTTTAAAAGGGCTGCACAAAAAAAATTGGAGGCCAAAAACAAAAAACAAAAAAAACTTTTGCTTAGAGAGTCTTGGTCTCGCACTCGGCAAAGGGTGTCTTTGCCGAAAAGCCAAACATTAGGCACTCGGCAAAGAGTGTTTTAATTTTTTAAAAAATTTACTCTTTGCCGAAAGTGCATCCACAGAAACACTCGCAAAAAATTATTATAAAAAATTAAATCTTTGCCGAAAGTGTTGAGTGCGAGGACACTTTCGGCAAAGTAATTTTTTTTAAAAAAAAATTCTTCGCCGAGCGCCAGATCTGAGACGCTCGGCAAAGAATTTTTAAAAAAATTAAATCTTTGCCGAAAGTGCGATCTGGCGCTTTTCGGCAAAAGAATTTTTTTAAAAAACAAATCTTTGCCGAGTGTGCCTAACAGTATTTCGCCGCAAAAAAGAAGGCCGTGATCGAACGCCGCTTCGCAGCAGCCTATGCCGAGTGTAGAAATTTTGCCGAGAGTCTAGCACTCGGCAAAGAAGTCGCTTGTCGAAAGTGTCCGTGTTTGCGAGTGCGGCACTCGGCAAAGAACTCTTTGCCGAGTGCAATTTTTTGCGGTCAAAGACACTAAGGCAAAGAAGGTCTTTGCCGAGTGCCCGATTTTTGACACTCGGCAAAGAATTTTGCACTCGGCAAAGTCTCTGTTTCCAGTAGTGAGATAAGGAGGAACGACGCTCGCTTCTGACTTCGACCCGCCTCTCCGACCGGAAGGTCTGGCCAAGGAGGAACGACGCTCGCTTTTGACTCCAGCCCGCCTCTCCGACTGAAAGGCCTGGCCAAGGAGGAACGACGCTGGCTTCCGACTCCGGCCCGCCTCTCTGACCGGAAGGCCTGGCCAAGGAGGAACGACGCTCGCTTCCAACTCTGGGCCGCCTCTCCGACCGGAAGGCCTGGCCAAGCAGGACGGCGCTCGCTTCTGACTCCGGTCCGCCTCTCCGACCGGAAGTACACCGAACCTCTATTTATATCTTTTCTCTGACCAACGCGGTCGGAGCCGACTGGGAAACAACCGAACGGGGACGCCCGCTCGGTAAGAACCCAAAGAATCAGGTGGAGCAAGTAAGATAGGGCTCTCAAGTCAATGACGATACCGAGGACCGTACCCTGCACACCTGCAGGACAGTACTGTCAGGCCGTGTTAGAAGGATGCATCGCAACCTTCCAGACATGTCAGAACATGAACAGTGTTGTGGGCGGCAACATTTATCCTACAGTATGCTAGGCGCCGACATTTACTATACCAGAAGAAGACGATGGAGCCTACCACATGCATCTGAGTGACAATAGTGTTGTGCGCACCGACAAACCGTCTTGTACCCAACGGCATGGGCAACAAGACTAGGTAGCACACACACTCTCTTTCTCTCACACACACTCTCTCTCTTGTAAAGCCATCCCCATCATCTATAAAAGGGGATGCGCTCTCTCCAAAACGAGAACGATCGATTTGGACGATTCGAACAACCTACAACGAACGATAGACGGATCATTCCGATACTCTCTGCTAGCTTTGGACACTCCAAAGCCAAACAGAGCATACGTTCGAACACTTAGCGCACGTCGAAGCTCCCGTCACTCTCGGCCCTTCGGTCCGGAGTCCGACCGGACCTCTGATACCCCCATCTTAGTCCCACTCATTTGTAACCCTACAGCAAACTTCGAGCACCTGGGCTCAGGAATAAAGTCACCGTCCGACTCAAACTGGACGTATGGCACGTTGCCTGAACCAGTATAAACCCTGTGTCATTGAGTGCTAGACCACATACGATCACAACGTACGGCAAAACAACAAATATTTACGTGTTGGTCACTTTTCGCACCGACACCGACACTGTAGATGTCGTGTGCTGTTTGTCGAGTGTTACACTCGACAAATCTTTTGCTGAGTGTTTCTTGGTCTTTGCCGAGTGCCTGTGGCACACGGCAAACTCACTGTTTCCGGTAGTGAATACATGCCCAGGCACGGCAACGGAAAAAAAATTCTCCCCACACACATGCAAAAAAAATTGCCTTCATGCTCTGCCACTGTTGCGGAGGAAGAGAGAGGGAGTGTGCAATTGCGAAGAGGCATGGAGTGCATGTGGCCGATGTTGCTTTTATGGGTCATGGGGCATTTTCACCAATGGCTCATGTCACGATTCAACGGTGGTAATAAAATTTTTTTCACCACCAGTTCCGTTACAAACTGGGCGACGATATATTATCATAAGTGATGAAAATGTTATGTTGTGAAAATATTTTTTAGTAGTGATATGGTTTTGGTGATATTTTCCTGATTGCATGATATAAAGCATTAAAATTCAGTGTTGTGAACTCATGTGAGGATGGAAAACTTCACGCTTTTCTAAAATGACTACTACTATCAGTACTTCCTGTAATACAAAGGGTTGCATGCACGTACAGGCTAAAGAACTTAAGAACCAACATTATACATAACCTAGAAGAAGTTACATGATTACATATTTTATGCTTGCCCCAGAGGTTTTTCATCCCCCCTTCCGGCCAGCTTGATGCCCTAAACAGATCGATCTATTTGTGCTGCGAGTCGCCCTCGTAGCTACCTCTGGTAAGTCTCTTTGCGCTTTGTGGACGAAAAAGCAGGTCAGAGCTGCCGTCTGCAATGTTGCAGTGCCAGGTGCCACTGCACTTGGGTTCATTTGCTCAAGCACGACTGTTCATGGAATTCGCAAGACTCGATCGAGAATTATATGCGACGCCGCATCTTCGACAAACGAACAGTGCAAAACCTTAGGAATTAAGGGTCGTCATCGTCAACGTCTGTAGGCAGAGCGTGGCGGCAGAGAGGGCACGTGTTGCTCTGCCCCAACCACTCGGTGATGCACCCGGGGTGGAACTCGTGCCCGCGGGAGCACGGCATGACGGTGACCTCCTAGCCGTCCTCGAATTCCTCCAAGCAGATCGCACACCCTGTGACGCCGCACCCTTCCGCCGTGAAGTGGAAGGCTTGCTTCTCCAGGCCGGCGACCGCCGCGTCGGACGCGGGGACGACGAACGCACCTAGTAGCCCGGCGCCGCCGTCGTCGTAATAAGCTCCATCTCCGAAGACAAGATCATGTAGGACAGTTTCGAAATCGACCTCCAGCTGCTGTGCCAGGAGATTGAGAATCACCACAGTGTTGATGTAGTTGTTGCCCTGACCCTGAACGGTCTCCTCGGTTGGGTAACCAAACTCCGGGTCAGACTGGTACGCCACGCCGTCGTCGTCGTCGTCGTCTTGGCCGTCGTCGTCGCTGGCTCGGTCGAAAAACTCTGCCGCTTCATCTTCTTCTTCTTCCAAATTGTGCTGCCCGGATAGAAGCTGAGGAAGCCAGATCAAAGAGCCGCCAGCGGACTGCGCCAAATCCACCCCATTGTCGATGGTGAAGGTCAGGAAGTGCTCCATCTCCATGGCTTCGTCAGCGGTAAGGGCCATGTCCATGGCTTCGTCAGCGGCCAGCTGCTAGGGCTGGTGGAGAACAGCGCAAACCTAAACCTAGGACGGAGGGACGGATGGATGGATGGACGGAGGGCGTTGGATGCTTATATCTCCTGTGCTGTGCCCTGGTTAGCTGCAGGTACTGGTCGAGTCGGTGTCCAGTTCGCGGGCCACTCGGACTCGGTTAGATCAGGATTCAGGAACCATAGCGCAGCAGTTGTGAATACGATTTCCGAGCGAATAGTGCTTCCGAGTTCTGTAATGGGCCGTATAAGCAGCCCACCAACGACAATTAGGTGGGCCTTTGACCAAGATGAGCCCACCAACGACCATTAGGTGGGCCTTTGCCCAGGCCATGTGCCTCAAAGTTTCTCCCTTGGACTCTTCGTTACTGGTACTAAGTCCAACTTCTATGTAAAAATAAACTTCTACATTATTAAAAAAAATTAGTTTCAATAAATTATATTTCCATATAATATAGACTAACAAAATTATGTATCCATATGTAGTATATCCTACTGAGCTTGGCCATGGGTGGGTCGGGCTCATCGTCCTTGGCTCTTGGCGTCGGCAAATTCACACTCTGCTTGGACCTTGTTGTATAGTGTTGTGCTTATTTTCCTCGAATAAGGTCAAGAAGCATTGTCTTATAAGTCATTTTGCACAGCTTCTCGTCCGCTGCTCCACAGATGGAGCTGAGAGACCAGAGCACCAAAATGTGGCTCCACGTCCCAACGGCTAAAATGGCTCTGGCTCCTCTACTGGACACCTGAAAGTGCTTCTCCTCATGGCTATGTTTGGTGTTGCTCTTCTGGCTCCAGTGCCAGAGCTCGGAACCGGAGCCAGAGCGGCACCAAACAGGGCCTTAATATAGGCACGACCGCATGGGACTATGGGAGGGAGTGGGAAGGCCATCGGAACCGGAGCCAGAGCGGCACCAAATAGGGCCTTAATATAGGCACGACCGCATGGGAGGGAGTGGGAAGATATGATAGAGAGCAACGACATGTGGGCTGCATAGGAAGGAGTGAGCAGGAGATGAAAAAGGGATGACATGTGGGCCCACATGTTAGGTGCATAGTCTGTAACCATGTATGTGTTTTATCTCAAATAACGTAATTTATATCTTGTGTGGCCCGATTAACAAGTACGACCTCAATTTGTAGTTATGAAAGTTAAAGAGCAGTAGTTGTACCTTTCTAGGCTTAGGTCTTGTTTGGTAGGGTTTTTTTCTAAGAGCTCCTTTGGAGAAGCTGGATCCGTTTTAGAGGAGCTACATCTCTGCCTCATCCAAAACCATTTCGTCTCCTTTTTATTTTACTAAAAACAGTTATAAATGGCTCAAGCTGGAGCCAGAGAGTAGCGGTTGTTCCGGTGCATCCACCAGATGACCAGATTCCGGCCCTAGAGCTATTCTCGACAACCGTAACTCACATTGTATCATGTATACTACTATACTCCCTCCGTTCCAGAAAGGGTGTTGTTCTAGCACTCGGAGTGTGTCCAAAAAAAGAGTGTCGTTCTAGCCCTACGACCCCACCCACTACCCTAGGCTGGCCATCCGCTGGCCCCCCTCGCATTCTCATCTCGGCATCCTCTCTCTCCTTTACTCCACCAGAGCTGTCCACCGCTTCTCCTGCACCGGCGCCACCCTCCCCTTCTCCTCCGCCGGCGAGGCTAAGGGTGGCCAAGATCTAGCTACAAGCGGCCGACATCTAGCCGGCACCCCCTCCTCTTCTCCTCTACTAGCCATTGTCTTTTCGCCGCTGTGGAGGCAAAGATCCGGCCCCGAGATCCTCTGCTCCTCCACCGGTGCCGCATCCTCTTCTCCTCTGTCGGTGCTACGTCCCCCTTCTTCTCCTTCATCGGCACGGAGATGATCTGCTTGGCTTGGTGGCCGAGATCTGGCCTGGCCCAATCCATGGCGCTCGACGCGAAGGGGTCACGGGTGCCGGAAATACGGCCCCTGCCTCCTCTACACCTCCTACCCCCGCCGGCGGCCTCCCCTTCGCTCGCGTCGCCAGAGAGATCGGGACGGAGCGGGCTCCCTTGCGGCACCTGATGCAGAGCGGACCAGCCTTGCGGCGCTCGACACGGAGCAGACCGGCGGTGGGCCACGGCCTCCCACTCGACGCGGAGCGAACCGGCGACGAGCGCGGATCTGGATCGAGAACGGAGAGGAGAGCGGAGCGCCAGAGTACCGTGCGGGTCTGCAGGACCAAGGAGAGAGTAGTAGAAGATAGGGGCACCACGGTCTTTTTTCCTTGTCCTTGGTACGTGCACCCAGCCCTCAAACCACGTTATTTTTAGGACAGAGTAATAGAGTAGTCAGCTCTTCCCCTCTGAGCTGCGTCAGCGTGCAACCAGCAGAGCCCGATGCAGCTGTGCCCATGGTGCCGTGCGTGCCAGTATGCAACGGGAGCCTACACTCGCCTGCATGCAGTGTTGAGCGCAGACTAGCTACACAGGCATAGGCATAGGCTGGCATGCACGACTCAGTCATCGATCAATGCTCACACTCAGCCTCGGCTCGTGCCGTGTGCCCGTGACCGTGAATGTCCCTCCGTGAAGAGCTAGCAGAGACAGAGACCTGCACCGCATGGCGCATGCATGCAGCTATGCTGCCACCGGTTTGTGTTCCGGCCATCCGGGAACTACTATTGCAGTTGCAGGTACGGTGTGTACTGCTAGATCTAAAGAGCCTGCTACCTTGCTTTGTTTAGATTGCAAGTTTTTTCACTCTCTCTCAATCACATTAAATCTTTAAACACATACATGAAGTATTAAATGTAGATAAAAAATAACTAATTACACAGTTTGATTGTAAATTACGAGACGAATCTTTTGAGCCTAGTTAGACCATGATTGGACAATAATTGTTAAATACAAACGAAAGTGCTACAGTGCCAAATACTGATTCCTACTGTGCCAAATACTGAAGCCTCAACAAACATACTCCTATACTCCTAGCGTAGGAGTATTGTTGATGGACGATCGAGTCATGGATGCATGAAAATTAACCAGACACAGTCAAATGATGCATGGCCTAACGTGTACCTCTACACCTGCCGTCAAACACACTAGTAGTGACCAAACTTTGGTCCGCAAAGATCTGCACAAGCCGATCGACGCATAACAGGATATTTGGATGATGGATGTACAGATGCCGGCCACCATTTGAGAGACCGGCCGGCCGCCAGCTGTTAGCTACTTTAGATCATATAGATGTGGATCCAGTGGGTGATTTCTCTATCAGTTGAATCAAATAGACCTAGAGCTCCTTTGGGAGTAGGAGAGAGAGAGAGAGGGAGATGTAGGAGCATCTGACCATCGGAGGAGCTCCCTGTCTTCGTTGGTTCGACGGTGAAGATCTGCGCACGGCAGCGACAATCGGAGTAGCGGTGGAGACCAGCGGTGGTGGAGGCAGTGGCGTGGCGGCGGCGGTGCTTCCTGTCACTGGCTGCGCCCCTCTGTTAGATCGGAGTAGGGTTTCTAGGTGGGGGTACGGCTCAGGCGAACCTCGTATCGAAAGCCGCCGACCCCATCTCTATTTAATGCGCAGTGTGACGGGGGCCCGCCAGCCATAGATGGACTGGGCGCCCCCGATCAGGACGCGAGGTCAAGACCCAAGTGGCCGTTGGGCCACTGTGGTTGGGAGATCAAACCAACATTCTCCCCCTGATCTCAACTCATACTTTAACTTTAAACTTTGATTTTAATCCCTTTCACTTTTATTTGTTCCATCACAGATTAGTAAATAGAGCATGCTTCATCGTCATGGTCAATCGTCGATAGATTTAGCAGCTACAACACACGTCTCTCTTCTGAAACAGATTCTTTAACTTTGGGCCCTTTATTGTCCGGAAATCATAGGCTATACCATAAACCCATGTCGACTGTGTGTTCTCTAAACACACTGGGTGGTAAGCCTTTTGTACACGGATCCGCAAGCACTTGCTTGTTACTTTTATGTTCAATACTTTTAGTATGATTCCGGACTTTCTCCTTCACAACGTATAACTTTAACGTCAATGTGTTTGGCAGCACACTTGACCCGTTGTTATAGGAGTGAACTACTTAAATGGTTATTGCTGTTGTATACCATTATCAATTCCGGGTGTAAGTTCTTTTAACCATTTCGCCTGTCCTTTAAGCCTCATATCAAGCTATACTGTGGGTATGCATCTTTGATGACACCACAACTGTTTCTTTGGAGCTTTTCCACAATAAAACTCCAACTGCGAGTGTTAGCTACTATGTGGGCTTCACTAAACATCTCGCCAAAATTTAACATTTGTACCCACAATTATTTGAGAGTAGTTATTCTTTCTTACTCACCATGAGGCCTATAAATCTTTGCACAATTGCAAAACATTCTCAACTCCATTCCAGTGATCTATATCTAGACTGGACTTCTGCCAAAACATTCTGGATACATGAACTATGTCAGGGTAAGTTCTTACTTATAAGCACTCATTAAGCTTCCAACAGCTGAAGCATATAGGACGTCCTTTCGATCGATCTCACATTCGTTCTTGGAACACTGAAAGTTCCAAAAACTATTACCCTTAACTATAGGAACAGGCGCAGGTATATGCTCATATATACTTTATTTCTTTATAATCTTCTCTAAGTATACACTTGAGATAGTTCTAATACCCATTTTCCTTTTGTCTCGGTAAGTTCCAATTCCTGGAACGAATGACGCTTTACCAAGATCATTCTCATTGAAATTTGAGGACAAGATCTGTTTCTTCTCCAACAGTACATTAACACCACTATTAGCGAGTAAGGTGCTACCCACATGCAGGATTAGGAAAATAAATTTCCCATGTTTAAGCTTTGCATAAATACAATTGTCCTCTACATTCTCTTTAAAACCCAAACTTTCTTATTGTACTGTCAAACTTCAAGTACCAATATTTTGAAGCTTGCTTTAATCCATAAATGGATTTCTTCAGGCAATATTTCTTACATTCTTTTCCTTCCACAACAAAACCTTT